TGCAAAGATCGTCCACAAAGGCTTTCCTTGGATTAACTTTTCGATTCACTGCATGAAAGTGAAGCCTGTGTTGTGCCCATACTGTAGATCCACCGAGGCCTTGCTTGTTGGGACGATACGCGGAGACAACCACCAAGTCCTTGGGGATCGGACCACAAACTGAGTCATTTACCTCAACCAAAGAGTCCTGAACATTACCCCCATGGGCTTTCAACTTCCTTCCTTGGAGACGAACATAGGCCCACCGTCCTAAACCCGTGGGGTCTCTGCCAGCTTCCTTAGCCCTGTGCGCCACTTGGTTCAAAACGGTTGCGATACACCCGCCCCATTGTACCGCCAAGGTGGCAGCAGATCTGTCCTGATGCCGATTGTAAGCTACCGACGAGTAAAACCCTTTTTGCTCGGACTTCATCGTAGCTTGGCGGAGTCTGTCACTCCAACCGTGACCTTCATTGATAGAAGGCCAAAACGTCTTGGCCTCTGCCAACAACGCAATTCCCACTCGTTCCTCCTTCAGCCAGGAGTTGATCTGTTGCTGCTTCGAGTCATTGCTATTTTCTGGTAATCCGTTGACATTCTGGAAACAGATTTGAGTAGCCAGTGAAGAATGACGGCGGTGATCATCACCAGATCAATCCCCTGCTGGAAGAGAACGTAAATATTCGTCAAGTGAAGCATGGGAGACTCCACTTGACGGGCCACTAATACGGGATCTTCTGCCTGCACGCCGTGACCTAGCTGCAGACGATCGTGGGCCTCTCATGGCCTCTCCGCGGAGCGGGGAGCTCTGCGGGAGGACCGAGAGGATTTACTGGCGCCATCACTGTGCGCCTTACCAGGAGGAGGAGAGAAGAATGGAGACCCTCCACATCGCGAAGTAGACGCAGTAAGAGATGAGGTTTGGCTCTCATCTTGAGACGCGGCAGTAGTGTTGTCCCCTTCCATGTGAGACGTGTCTACTTGAACAGCCGAGGCCGTCGAGGGTTGGGCAGAAGATGGTTCCTGAAATGGGACACCTGCACTTGTTTGGGCCTTCTTGGCTGGTTGTTTAGGTTTGCCCTGCTTGATGGCCTTCTTTGGTTTTGTCCCTGTGTTGGGAACAATAGAGCTCTTCCCAGTGGATGACTTGCCTAAGGTTCTGTTGCTAGATCTGACCGGTGGAGTCAATGCTTGACGGTCAGGAGACACGCGATTGTTGTGGGGTAGAGTGGGAAGCTGACTCATCATTGTAGGTAGATGGCTGGCCTGACTCTGGAGGGCAGCGAGCTGTGCTTGCAGTGCCGCATTGTCCGCACGTTGTTGTGCCAAGGCGCGTTCCTGAGCCTCCAGTGCATTGTCCCAAATCTCAATCTCATTGAAGGCATCTTCCAGTTGTTGCTCCCGTTCCTGCATCTCGTCCATCATTCCCGTCACGGTCTTCCCATCATCAATGTCTTTGTTGTTAGCCATATCCAAATCAATCGAAAGTTGACCATCATAGACATCCGTTGCGTCTTCCATCACATCATCCAGAAACTCCAGTGCTTCCTCAACCGCGTCTGGCGAGGCGGTAGCCTCCACAGCACGAAGTGTGTTTGTGCACCATTTGAGGTTCTTACGTCGAGCCATACTGATCTCTGATTGCGGAACCCATTTACGGAGGGCTTGATCGGTTTTTGTCAGAGTTGGCTCATACAGGTGATGAGTCAGAAAAGGGACCAAGCCCTTCAAGACGTTACGAGCCAATTGTCCAAACTTCTTGCGACACACCAGGATGTAGGTGCCCTCCATCTCGCCTGGTAGAACCATCAAGAACAGCGGACCGGACTTGTGACGCTCCTGATCATTCTTCAGCTTACGGTCAGCAACCTCAGCCATTTTCCGTTGGGCTGGGGAGAGATCGTTAAGGAACGGATTCTCATTATCAGTGATCAACTTCTTCTTCTTCTTTGCCTTCTTTTTCACCTTTGTTGCCGCCTTCTTAGACCGAACTTCTGTGAATTGACCGCCTTTAGAGCCAGAAGATTCATTGGGATCGTCGTCAGAAGAGTCATCGTCTGAGTCATCGTCGGAGTCATCAGTCTCAGTTGTTGATTGATGGGCATGAGAAGCTTTGTCGGCTTGAGCTGGGGTTGCCTTGATCGACAAGAGAAGCTTAAACAAGGTGCATGAGCCAAACATAGTAGTAGTTGCGAACTTGAACATCCCAGGAAGATCCATGACCGAATACAGGACCTCTGTCAGGATGTAGTAATCACGTAGTTTGCTAATAAGGGTGAGGGTAGCATCCTTAACCGGACCGTAGGCCTTCACACTGATCAATCCCTGTTGAGCAGACTTCCAATCACTGATAAATGTAGCCGGAGCAGCGAAGGGGAAGTCTGGCTTTGCTGTGGATGGATTAAGAAGGCTTCTTAATTCTCGATCGACTCTTTTGGCATGAATCTTGCGAGCGTACCCATGAGGACTTGTTACACCGGGGGAACGCTCGTTGAATTTAGCACGTCCTGTGTAAGGTGTAGAAACCCAATCCATCTTGATTCCAATAGGGATAGAGAAGTCAAAGTGACGCATGATTTCTTTCGCATAGGCTTCGAAATTAACCTCCGGCGGAATGAAGGCAAAGCAACCCACTTTAACAATGTGGCCCAAGGTTCTGCTGCATTGAAGGATTTGCTACTGGCGAAGGGATGGGGGTTCCTTGAAAGTAGGGAGGAAAAGGATGTTTGTAGAAAGCTTGACAAAAATGCTGCTGGTAGGCCAAATGTCGTTCGTAGGCCGGGTCTAATTGTATCATTGTACGTTGCTGGTGGTAGCAAGCTTGATGGGGCGATGTTGTCGTACCTGCTGATTGTGCTGGCGCAAGAAAGTAGTGTTGGGGTGGCAATTGCATCTGTGGTGCTAACATGATGGTGGGATGGGGTGCAAGATTTGTCACATTGATCCTCCTGTTCTTCTTTTCCTTCTTGGCAAAAATCAGCGCCCCCGCTAAAGAAGAAATATTCCCAGCATAGAACCAACTCTTCTCTTGACATATGGGTTTTTGATTTTGCTGCAGTCTTTGCATTTGCATCTTTTCGGCTTAAAGAACTCCACTGCTCTCTCTGGCAAGTTGTTGTGTCAAGTATTCAGAAAAGAATCTCTCTCCGTTGTCGGCTGGTAGCTCTTCTACTGCACTGTGGACATTGCCAATGATTCCAGCCTCTTTGGCCAAGTTGTTGATAGATGCAAGTTGAAGGTGGTTGGTATAATGTGGTGCCCTGTGAAAGGCTGTAGGAATCTTCTTTTGCAACTTCGGATCAAGGGATCCAATATGAAGGCGGTATCGTATTCGCAAATTGTACAAGGCAATTCCAGCCGATGAAGTGTAGTCAGTTAGAGTTTGTCGTGTGCCACCATTTGAACAGTGGTGCATGATGTGATTGCCTTTCTCCACCTTTGATTTGGCGCCACGTGTACCTATGAATACAGGGAGCTTGCATTTCGACATCAAGCCTGGTTTGACACTAAAATATAGTTCATCTTTGGGCAAGATGTCTTCCACCCAAATTGCATTCTTCATTTGCTCTTCAACTGCAGTTTCAGTTGGTCCTGTAAAAAGGTCAGCATGGATAGTATCATCATACTCATCCTTGAATTTGCGGT